CTAAATCGAATTAAGCATTCCCAATTAGTGTATATAACAAACAGCAAGTATTACGGCTTTGTAGAAAAATGCATGAATTACACTAATTACAGGACGAATAAATCATTCGAAAGACATGTAATGTGTATATTATGTCAGTGAATGAATGTCAAAATACAACGTAAACATAGGCCATACCTCTGAACTTATGAAGCTAAGAAATTTTCAAACTCCCAATTTTTAACAATATAACTATACTTTCCTTGTTTGTCTGTAAGGTAACTTTTTCTGGAATCTGTTATACATCCCCGAATATGTCAGATGATGATAATATCGCCATGTTCTAAATAACGAGAGTGGCCCTCACTCAACCTTCCTCACAGCTTAATCAAAACAAGCTCACATTGTAGAAAACTTAGCATACGAGAATTCTTCACAAAAGCACCAGTTCAGTTTCTGTATTTCACGTCTTGCGTCAGTAACCTTTTGAATCTTTTACGACGGTCATATGGAACGTACCAAAGGCAGCTTATTTGTGTTATCAAAAGATAATATTTGCGAATTTACTCATGGAAACATCAGCGGCGGTCAAAACCTCCAGGCTGTCCTGTTTCCGGGCTATATTTAACAGCATCGATGAACTCTCTAATAGGCAGGCCTCATGTTTACAGATGCCGACGAGGACCACGTGTTGCGCGAGATGACCGCACGTGCAAGGATGTACATCACGTCGCCTTGGTGCCGATGCAGCTACACAGGCTTATACATGTTATATGCACAAGCCAGATGAACTGGTTGTATTGTTTGATATTAACCGGGCACAATCTAAAAATTCAAGAACGCATTGTCCTTTTGGGGAATTCCGTTACTCGGGTCATGTCAAGGTGACCTTGACGCTTCCTTATTCATGGTACTGTGTAACACTATAAAAGCCGAAATACTGACTACAAATTTGTATTTCCTGGGCTTGTGTTCATAAAATTTGTTTCTTTGTTTATTTCATATTATCTATTTTGTGCCGTAGTGAACAATGCTCCCTCTATACATCATTGTTATGCATATAATTGAACCTGTGTTTGAGTGAGTCTAGTTTTACACCGCTTTTAGCCATATTCCAATAATATCACACCGTACACATTTACCCATGTGGGAAATCGACCCCGGATCTTCGGTGTGAGGGGCATATTATGAGTTAGACTAAGGCTTAGTCTCTGAATATATATAATTTTGATAGTAACAAACAAGCCCATTTATATTGAAATGTACGTGTCTCGTTCACTGAGAGGGCTTGGCAGTTTAATGTTTCACTGTGACGATAATTATGAGTCTGATGAAATGTACGCGTCTCGAATCTTGCACTGACGAAAGATGGCTGCCTGACGAAGGCTAAGGAAACCACTTCGTCTTGTTGGGAGGAACCGTCACCTTGGTCTTGTGGACAGAGTGTCTGTCTTATGAACGGAAAGTGGTTCCACTCCATGGCATCGTCATATCAGAGGACGTTAGAAGATGGAACTTGTCTTTAACCTGCCTGGTGATCGGCATTAAATGGATGAGACAAGGACTGGTTTTAGTTCTTGAGTTAGTGTTAGTGCTAGTGTTGATGGTAGTGTTAGTGCTAGTGGTAATGATAGTGTTTGTGCTAGTGGTGATGTTAGTGTTTGTGCTAGTGGTGATGGTAGTGTTTGTGCTAGTGGTGATGGTAGTGTTTGTGCTAGTGGTGATGGTAGTGTTTGTGCTAGTGGTGATGGTAGTGTTTGTGCTAGTGGTGATGGTAGTGTTTGTGCTAGTGGTGATGGTAGTGTTTGTGCTAGTGGTGATGGTAGTGTTAGTGGTAATGGTAGTGTTAGTGCTAGTGGTAATGATAGTGTTTGTGCTAGTGGTGATGGTAGTGTTAGTGCTAGTGGTGATGGTAGTGTTTGTGCTAGTGGTGTGTGATGGTGATGAGTGTTTGTGCTAGTGGTGATGGTAGTGTTTGTGCTAGTGGTGATGTGTTGTAGTGTTAGTGTGTTTTTGTGTGGTGATGGTAGTGTTAGTGCTAGTGGTGATGGTAGTGTTTGTGCTAGTGGTGATGGTAGTGTTTGTGCTAGTGGTGATGATAGTGTTTGTGCTAGTGGTGATGGTAGTGTTTGTGCTAGTGGTGATGGTAGTGTTTGTGCTAGTGGTGATGGTAGTGTTAGTGCTAGTGGTAATGATAGTGTTTGTGCTAGTGGTGATGGTAGTGTTTGTGCTAGTGGTGATGGTAGTGTTAGTGCTGAGTGGTGATGGTAGTGGTATGATAGTGCTAGTGGTGATGGTAGTGTGTAGTGGTGCTAGTGGTGATGGTAGTGTGTTAGTGGAAAAGTTAGTGCTAGTGGTAATGATGGTGGTAGTGTGTAGTGTTAGTGCTAGTGGTAATGATAGTGTTTGTGCTAGTGGTGATGGTAGTGTGGTAGTGCTAGTGGTAATGATAGTGTTTGTGTGTGCTGAGTGGTGATAGTAGGTGATGGTAGTGTTTGTGCTAGTGGTGATGGTAGTGTGTTGGTGCTGGTAGTGGTGCTAGTGGTAGTGTTAGTGCTAGTGGTAATGATAGTGTTTGTGCTAGTGGTGATGGTAGTGTTTGTGCTAGTGGTGATGGTAGTGTTTGTGCTAGTGGTGATGGTAGTGTTAGTGGTAATGGTAGTGTTAGTGTTAGTGCTAGTGGTGATGGTAGTGTTAGTGCTAGTGCTAGTGGTGAGTGCTAGTGTTAGTGCTAGTGGTAATGATAGTGTTTGTGCTAGTGGTGATGGTAGTGTTGGTGCTAGTGTCAGTCCTAGTATTTTATTGGTAGTGTTCAGGCTAGTGCACGGAAAGCTTGCAGAAAGGTAGAACTTGGATATCAGTAGAAATACACGCTCTCATTCTACCAGCTTCCCTACACAAGACACAAACGCGCCAACGTTTCTTTTAAAAATATCACAACCGATATCGATTGTTTACAGTTCACTTCGGTATGACAGAACTACTGCTGAGCGGCTCTAAAGAAACAAACGCTTCACGATCTTATATAAACCGAGAGAGTGGTGGGTGCTACCGGTAGAGCATGACATGCTTACCCATCTCGCAAACACCTGGTGTCATCACTGATTTTCAGAGATCCATTCATATAATGGCCACCGCTATTGTGCCTTTCATGCCCCGTGGATCTGTTTCAGGGGATGACTTAGGCCGATTCTCAGGCATTGACGCTGCTTATTTCCGTTACCCATAACCCACCTAAAGTGTCATAAGCAGGTCAAACTGACCGTTAGGATACGAAACTTCCATGATGAAATATTGAACGGATCTTGCGCCAAGTTTCCTTATCGATTCTTCACTGGGTAACACATGGCAGTATGTTTGTGTCCGCCAACTGAACTGACTCACGGTTTGAGCGCTACCCACTGAAGGCGACGACTCAAGCCCTCCATACATTTACAGATCAACCGTAAAGAAACATGAAAACTGATACCCTTGTGCCAACAATCGGCGCTCAACCAAAACGTCAGTCAGAAAATATGTATATTAAACATATTGAACCATGACATATTTAAATATATGAATAAAGCCAGTCAAAATGAGCATAATATAATATTCATAAATTCAAAATGCCGCACCACGCATCACTTCGCCATTTCATGTAACATTGTCAAGAATATTTTAATATTTCTCCCTCTTTTTCTCTGAAAATAAACCTGTTAGCTTATAATAGATCGTCGTGATGCAGTGACAATGCGTAAATCAATCATTGTAAGTGTTTCTGAAAAGTCATCATTTCGCAATTTTATACAAAAGTGTAAATGAGACATTTCAATATTCTTCCCTTTTTCTCTAAACATGAACATCGCTGTTAGCTTATAACAGGTTTTCTTGATGCAGTGAAAATGTTTAGATCTATCACTTTAAGTGTTCCTAATTTCTGAGAATTCATCACTTCCCCATTTCATGCAAAGTAAATTAAATATCAAAATCCCCCTTTTCTCTGAACATGAACCTTGCCAGCATATAATATATCAGCTTGATACAGTGCAAATGCTAATCTGTCCTGAAAAGGGACACTCTTCTATGTGTTTTTGAACGTGTACACGAGGACACAGTGACATGGTGTTTCGTCACGCTCTAGAAACAGGTAACTGAAAGTACAACCGACATCCAGACAAGCTATTCGGAGGTGTTATTTTCACTCATTGAAATACATGTACTCACGCTTGACCTTGCTGGAGTTTCAATAACGCGCATCGGTCTTCTAATCGTCCTTCACCTTCACGGTAACCAACCGGAATACCCTGGATGTCATGTCATCCGAACTGACATCAACAGCTATCAGAGGTGGCGGAGTGAAATCTTTCAGATATGTATCGCGAACTAAATTGTCCAGACCAAACAATGGCTACAACTCGATACGTAATGCCAACATGGCACTGATAGAAACAAATCGATAAGTGACCTTTGACGATATTCCTGTTTGATATGTTCGTGACACAGGAATCAGCTGTGGCGGAATACAATATATCTATATATGGTCTAGAGTCCGTAACGTGTGTACAGAATTAGCTCGATAATTTGTAAGCGTGACTATTGTATTCTGTCTGTATCTATCGTATGTATACAACCAGGTAAATGCGTGTGCTGTGACGTATTATGCTTTGGCTAATCTTCACAATCACCAGATGCGGTTAACATATGAAAGGTATTTGTATACCTGGGTATACAACAGAAAGGTATTTATATACCAGTATTAACAGCTGAATAAGATGTATACCGCGGTATTAATACACACCCACCCAACGCCGTACAACCACAAGCTCTAACTCTATTCAATGGACAAATACATTATCATTGACCACACATTCAGTGTGACACATGATGAAATCCGCAATAGTAATTGCCAATTTCATCAATTCCCATCAAATAAAACTGATGAAATCTCATTATTTTTTTTCATAAAATCGTTAAATCACAAACATAGAATTGTTAGTAAAATACAATACAATAAATAAATGGACAACAAAATAAAAGCTTACCTAACTGGTCATGTATTCGTCCGATGGATATATATTACCTCCTGGTTAATAATGAATCTCTCTTTGGCTCCGCTTGCCGGTTTAAAGGGAATTCCCATCACTTAAACCAACCACTTATAACACATACTAATCACACTTATCCATACATAAAAAAGAGACACTGATTTCACGCCGGGTTCTGCTAAAAATACGGTTCCACGCCGCTGTCGGTGTTTCCTCTAGGAACGCTGTCATTGCGTGAGGTATATATAGCCTCGCGGGAGCACCAAGGTGTATCCAAGGTCGTCTCAAGGCTGAAAGCCTCCGTTTAGCACGTAGCGTGGAATTCCCTTTTATTACGTCATTGTTCATTTCCGGGTTGCTATTCAGAGCGTTAACATTGATTGTTTGTTTGACACGGTGTCGCTGTATAAATGGAGTCCTGTATAAAATTGCCTTTGAGCGAGAGTTTGGAATTCGAATATATTAATCGTATGTGGATGTTGTGGTGATTTATTCCAAATATATACATATTATGGTAGATGGTATATGATAATGACTGAAAAACAGTTTCTCTCTTTTCAGAGTCTTATAATATCATAACGAAAACACTCTTACATAGTACAGCATAATTACACCACGGTATATACCCTACCAGATATATATTTTAGCATGTCGTCATCTGATACAATTGTGTAGATCGATGCTAATGATGTCACTCACTGGGTTGTCTGGTCCAGATTCTATTAATAAAGGACCGCCTCCGTGGTGTAGTGGTTAGAGCGTCCGCCCGGAGAGCGGAAGGTCGCGGGTTCGATCCCCAGCCGCGTCATACCAAAAGACGTTAAAATATGGTACTTGTTGGTCCCTGCCTGGCGCTCGGCATTAATGGGTACAAGGACTGGTCGGCTCGGAGTCAGTATAATGTGTCTGAGTGGGGTATTCATGCTTCACTGTGGCATGGTATCTCAGTGGGCTAGCACTATAAAACCAGCTTCAGTCTGGGCTAGTACAAGCAGCCGCACATACACATACACATACACACGCATGCACGTCGTCATATGAAAGAAATATTCTCAAGCACGACGTTAAACCCAATTTCACCTCACCTCACCTCACCTCACCTATTAATAAAGGTTCACCGTTACATTTCTGGGAAATTGCCGAGTGAGGCGTTGAGAAACAACCAACTTAAGTTACGGGGTATTTGTCTGTTTGTTTGGACCAGACAATCCAGTAAATGACATCATGAACATCGATCTACACAGCTTGGATACGGTGACATGTGTCAACCAAGCCAGCAAGTTTGACCACCCGATCCCGTTAGTCGCTTCTCACGACAAACATGGGTTCCTGAAGGCCAACTGTAACTCCACCTTCACAGGTGTTCTTCTATGTTGAACACGGTGATCTGAATATAATATATCTGCATTCATATCATATTTCTATTCTTTATACGCCTTCGATCGTGTTTTGAATTCGACGTGATTGTCATCCTATAACTGTCATTCATCTGAGCCCCCCGTGAAGATCTAGGTTAGAGTTGGTTTTGGGCAACCCATACCTGTCGGAAAAGGCGAGTAACGGGACCGGGGGTCAGGTTCGTTCACATGTCATCATAGCCCAGTTGCGTAGATCGATGTTCATGCTGTTGATCACTGGATTGTATGGTCCAGACTCGGTTTTTCACAGACAGAACGTCATAATGCTGGAACGTGGCTGAGTGCGGCGTTAAGACAACAAACAAACTCTCATGAGCGAGAGACATATTGTGCTGAGAGATAAGAGACAGGGAGGCAGTGACGTCACTTCCGATAATAAGAAATAATGGGTCCAAACTATGGAGATAAAATAAACGGGACAAGCGAGGATGCCCTTCAAACGGATCATACTGATAATCCTGCTTCATCGCGTCCCTGGCAATTGTGTTGGCGGTTGTTGTTGAACGCCGCACTGTTTCAACTTGATGGCTGCGGTCTGTAAATAATCGTGTGTGTTCCACCACCCATTCCTTGACATCCTACTACAACTGAATGTTTTCAAAGATTTATCTGTGAATATGACCTTCGTAAAAGATTATGCTCTTCCGACATTTTCTAAACCTGTTGAAATGATCCACCAAAGAAACTTCACATAGGAGAACCGTATTTCATTAAGACCTAATTAAGCTTTCTAATGGATGAACCCAGATTACCAGACATAAGAAAAAATTCATTATGGCAAGCTGTTTTTCTCAAATTGTACCCAACAATACATTTTGTATCATTCTAGCTTGCTCAGCTCACCTTACTTGTGTCTTACTTGGCCCATTGCTGGAATATTGCAAACTCACTCACTCACTCACTCTTGAGCGGGAAATATACAATGTGATATATTTAATCAATGTTAAATTGTTAGAAGTAATCACGTGATAAAAAAGCTTACTCTTATGAACGGTTTTAACAGTTCTGTTAACCCGAGGATCCAGATAGTGTAGTGGTAGTCACACATAACCCTGTGGGTGTCAGATGTTTGAAGAAAGGGGTGTATGACAAAAGGGCAGACACCACCAATGCTAAAGGGGCAGGTCACTTGTCAAGTAGTCTGTCTCACAGTCCTCGACCCACGTTATTTCTCTGTCCGCCCAGCCCTCTTTGCAATGCAAAGGCCAAAAATAGAGCAAATCCAGATTTCTTCAGCTCATTGGGGCTCCTTTTCAATTTGAATGTGTGTTTGTTTCTTTAAAAATTATACATATTTTCATAGAAATGTCCACGTTCTCTACAATCCTTTCCAGGCAACAACCATCTTTGTTATGTTTAATATACGCATGAGTTGCGAGATAAATACGGATGTAATTGTAAACAGGAATTGCGTTTCGTGATAATTATGAGTATGTTTATTTTATAGAAAATATGCATGTAAAAAATTAATTATATTGACTTTCTCACGAGTGGATATATCTTGACATTGTGTCCAATATACAAAACACTAAGCATCCAGTATAGTGTTTATTGACTTGCCTTTGCGTGTGTTTGTAACTCGTGCCACCTGTGGTGCAGGAGTTTCCTGGTCCCGTCACCCATGATACAACGAGAATCGCACAATGAAATCTGCGTTTATCAGATATTGTTTTTATGATTGTGGAACGAGTAGCTCTTGCTGGTATACTGACTGACTGAGTTTTGGTTTTACGCCGCTTTTAGCAATATTCCAGCAATATCACGGCGGGGGACACCAGAAATGGGCTTAACACATTGTGCCCATGTGGGCAATCGAACCCGGGCCTTCGGCGTGACGAGCCAACGCTTTAACCACTAGGCTACCCCACCGCCCCCTTGCTGGTATAGAAGCATTTCGGAAGGCTTATAATAGAAGTAACAAGTAACATTGAAAAATGTTTAACAAATAACAGAAATATGAAACCTTATGCAACATGGGTCTTATTTCAAATCAATAGTGGCAATGAATAACAAAATAGTTTAAATTTATTATACTGTTTTGCTCATGGTCCAGACTCGATTAATTACGGATCGCCGCCATATAGCTGGAATATTGCTAAGTGCGGCGTAAAACTAAACTCACTCACTCACTCACTATTCAGTTTTCATACAATTTACCAATCTAACCAATACACATCTTAACACTTAAACGTTTACCAACTACTGAAGCAGTCATCAGCGCGTTGTATCTCCATCTGTCATCATCAGCAGAAGCTTCAAAATGTCAAATATTTGATACACACTTAATGATCTCATCTCTCAGTTACGCAGTTTCATCATAACCTACTTGGAAGTGTCGAAGTGTCTGTTTCCCAATGCATCTTTGTATGATATAATCTGTCACATACAGTACAACCAGAAATTATTGAGAATTTAAAGATTGTCATTTTTTTTTAAATTTCACTCATTACTCACATATTAAATGTGAATATTAGCAGAATATAACTCCAGATTCAAAGATAGGTGAACAGTTAGTATTTTGTCAAGTCACCTTGGGCAGCAATGCAGGCTTCAATGCGGCGGGGCATACTACTGATCAAAGAAGTTAGAAAGTCGTGGTCCATGCTGTCCCAATATCTCTTCTTTCATTTCAGCAATATTTGTCAGATTTTTCTTATTGACACTTTCCTTCATAAGTCCCCAAACATTTTCTATTGGATTTAGGTCAGGGCTATAGCTTGGCAAATCTAATAATGTCATATTTGGGGTCCGAAACCAGGCCTGAGAGCTTTGAACGATGTTTTGGGTCGTAGTCCTGCTGGAAAATCAAAACAATTGCATAGAACACGTGAGCAGATGCAAGTAACTGTCCTTCGAGAATATCTGTGTACCGCTCACTGTTCATATTCCCTTCAAATACACAGAGGGGGTTGCCCCTAACACAGATATGCCACCCCACACGTTGAATTTCGGACTGTACTTTGGGAGCTGATACAAAGTTTTTTCAGTTTGTTTGGTCCAGAATTTCAGTGTATTAGGAAACATCCACACAGAACTTTCATCTGAGAAAATCACATTGTCCCAGTTAAAATGTCTAAGGCTGTAAGCACCAGTTCAACCTTCGCTCCTTTTCTTCAGGTTTCATGATCGGTGATGGAATTCCTCGACTTTTCTGCCAACCCATTGCATGCAGCTCAGTTCTAATTGTCTCCTTACACACAGCCACAGTTCCTCTATCAATCATATCCAGCTTTATGTTTTCTCTTCGTTTGTTTTCTCTTTCGTTTGTTTTTAGAAACAAGAATACCAAGCCGCCTCCTGCCACCGACAGTCAATTTTCAGGGCCAACCTGCGCCTCCTTGGTGCTCAATGCCATATCCATTTGCAATATATTTCAAAACACGATAAACAGTGGACAAAGGGATGCCTGTTCTACTTGAAATCACTTTAGCTGATCTGATGTCCTTGTTATTATACTCTAAAATCAACTTCCTCTTCTCTAAATCATCCATACTGAGGATCACTGAAAATGTCGTCTGCTAGCAAGTAAACGAAGGGGGATAACTCTTCACAATCTAATGAAACAGGATTAACGGAGTTGTCTCTCTTGAATGAAACCAAGCACTTGATAGCTGGTCAAGGTTGTTTATACTAGAAATCCAATTAAACATATTCCTAAAATTCTCAATAATTTCTGGTCATACTATAGCTCTTACAATTCATTTGATTATCTAACGCTATTTGCAACTCATCTGAATAGGCATCACCATCTACTTTGTCTATATTTGCTAGACTCTACGCTATATAATGTTGCCCTGATGTGACAGCTGCAGGTGATAGATCTGTATCACACTGGCTGACAGTATCGATTTGTTTGTTTGTTTGTTTGTTTGTTGTTTAACGCCGCACTCAGCAAAATTCCAGCTATATGGCGGTGGGTATGTAAATAATCGAGTCTTGACCAGACAATCCAGTGATTAACAACATGAGCATCGATCTACACAATAGGGATACGATGACATGTGTCAACCAAGTCAGCGAACCTGACCACCCGATCCAATTGGTCGCCTCTTAGGACAAGCAAGGGTTACTGAAGACCAATTCTAACCCAGATCTGCACGGGTCCCCAATCTCGAACTGTTATCAGGTCTAACGTATCTCAGGCCCTAATAGGTTAAATTGTGCCTTTGTGTGATGCTTTGGTGATAATTAAAACACTTGTGTTCAAGAATAAAACATTTTCCAAGGCTCCAGTTCGCTCTTTGTATACGAGATCATTACTAAACAAGTTCGATATGTTGTTGTACCTCCAGGTAAGGGATCTACCTCTTCATAGCATCCGGAGGAGAACCATGTAGCATCCATGACCTTCACCTTTCCTCCAGACTCATCATTCCGTAATGATACCGTGACAGTGTCAGCTGTGGCTTTGTAGTCGTTGACAATGTCATGAACATCAACCTAAACTCAAAAAAGGTTCCTGCTCCTATCTTTGTAGTCCTCGGGGACGACTGGAGATTCTTTGCCTTTTTTATAATATGACATTGTAGCTGGGCAAGACATCCAGCGGCGGCGGTTTTAATCACAACAACGACGCTTTTAGCTTATGATTGATCGTGCACCGAAAGACAATCGATACATAATTCCCCGAGAGGCGATGCGAGTGAGTATGCTCTACATACAGACTGCTACATACATGTAACGATGAGGTGATTCAACCTCTTATACTGCGGTCATGGGCGGTGGGGTAGTCTAGTGGTTAAAGCGTTCGCTCCTCACGTCGAAGACCCGGGTTCGATTCCCCACATGGGTACAATGTGTGAAGCCCATTTCTGGTGTCCCCCACTGATATTGCTAGAATATTGCTAAAAGCGGCGTAACACTAAACTCACTCACTCATACTGTGAACCTGTGTTTTATATGTCAAGGCTACCCACAGCTTTCTGGAATGTCTCTGCTTGAAATGCATGAGAGGAAGGTCTTGAAAAATAGGACTATGTAGCCTGGTTTGATTTTAGCTCATCATGAGCTCTTCCAGCTCTTCTGTATAGTCATTTCTCTCTGTCCCTTTTTTGAAGCTGCCTTTTTAGTTTGTCCTGGTGAGAAGGCTTTTGGGCGGATAATAAAAGTGTGTACATTTGGAGCAGGTTTTTGTACGCGCATGCTGTCCAAAAGTGACATCGAACTGAATTATAGAAAACGCCTTTACCTTTGCATTTAAGTTACGTTTCTCCTAGTGTTTTCGAGGGAGAAAAATAATCTACATGGATTCGCTTGTCAAGATAAGTGTGCCTGGCGTGATGGGAATGAATTAGTATGGGCCCTCACGCTCTGTTTGAGCGTCCATTCTTTGTTTTCAGGGCTGATTTCCAACGCCAATACCACGGTGATCTGTACAGTTAGATGAATGTTTTGAAAGGCTTCGACCAAACTGCCACCTTTCTGCCTCACTGAGTGTGTGGAGGAACTTTGACTGTGACATCACCATTTTTCTTTTCACAGGTGTTAATATAGAACGGCAATGCAAAAGAATAACCAGTCTGGACTAACCTATGAAACAGAATCAGTGTAAATAGCGGTAAAATTGTATGAATGGATCACTCAGTATCAGTGTTCGCGAAGAGGGTATGCATCTCCTGCCACCTATGGGCCCAGTACGTACACTTGCACCTACCCTGACTAAATGGAATGGACTAAAAAGTCACACATTTGCCAGGTAATTTTCGCGTATTCTACACTATCTACAGGTAATTGTAAATGATATGAAACAAAATTAGTGCCAAACGTCGAATAGAATAAAATTACCCAAATGAATTGGTATTTGCGTGCGTGCTGTCAGAAATTCAGTCCTGTAAATTACATTGTATTTTACACTAAATCGCTGGAATATGGATAAATGTGGCCTAAAAACCAAACAAGCCGTTTGAAATAAACCACAAAGTCACTATATTCGCTGTATTTTATGACTGATTATCAGCTTCCAAAACAAGAATCTGAAAAGGGGCCTTTAGTTGTCACATGCGTCGCTTTTCTAACACAGCCGATCTTTAAAGAAGTGAAAGTAACTCCTTTATTAAAAGAAAGCGATAAAAATTGTAAGTGTCACATATTAAGATGTAAAGTATATTGCATCCTTTATACTTTTTTTTTTTCAACTCGTCATGGGCAAAGTGGGTATGTCCTACAGAGTACAGCTGTTTCATATTACTGTTACGACGCCAACTTATTGTACGAAACATCAAAACAATCCTCTCTGATTCCTTTCACTATTTATAAAGAAAGGGGAATCTGGTTATCGTCAACGTCAAAAGAGATCATAAAAAGACGGTTTATGCCTTCTCTCAGAATTGCCTGTTTGGGCAAAGGTGCTATCAAGGGGAAGTAACTCCAGGTTTGGGATAAATGTGCTCTCAGGTGACTAAAGAGCACTTCCGGGGCTGAACTTCCTTTGTCAGGAATGTTGATGGATCTTAGCTAGTGAATCATCGTCGATCATAATGTTTCATGATTCCTTTCAAACACCACTAAACCAACCACAGAGGCGACATAAATAAGTGTTTGAACATATGCATAGACGTAATCTTGATCGTTATTTTAGGAGTCGCGTCTTTACTGAGAAAACCAGCGTGCAGACGAAACTTTACTGGTTGATGATTTGGAATCTGATACCGTTTGTATTTGGTAGTCATGTCAGATCAAATTTGCTAGTGGTATGAGAAGGCTAGTGTTTTACATATTGTGCATGAATTTTGGTGAATTAAGCATGGCGTTGGGTTTGGACGGACACGAGAAGTTATAGTCAACGTTTGATGACTCTCATTCATAATGGATGAAGGACAGAAGAGATCGTGGTTGTGTTATGTGACTCTGACAGTGTTGTGGTGTTTGACAGCTCGGTGCTGCTGTCATGTCATACCTTTTGAACCATCAAACATGTGGTCATTCAGCTACATCTACTCACCAGCACGAGGTTGGTTCAAGATAATGTTAATTTTAGAACTTATACATTCATTATGTGTATGGAAAATACATACATAACACTGTGCACATGACCATATTCTTAATGACAGCTTTGCAGATGAGGCAATATCTATTCCAGCTGCAAGTTCAGTTACAAACCTGAGGATTACTACAATAGATTTAAATATTAGTAACCAAGATATGCAATATTCAACTGATGTTTGTCACACATGCTGTAAATATGCGCATTATACATGTCATGTATACTGAGATGAGGCAATAAGAATTATTTGTATGGTATTCTTCCCCACCTGCCTTACAACCATGCACCCCACCTCACTTAATTTAGTGTTCTGAAGTATCCACAGAATAAGAAAATTCATTATCATGATGTATGCTTCCTCAGCTGATATTTAACTTGGTTGTTGGGGGGATAGAAACATACAGGACAGTGGTTATTTGGTGCGATTTCAGGAAAGTTTTGGATACGAGCTGAAACATTATCATATTATTAATACAGTGTCATACAGCTTACACAGTGCTTTAGGGCATGTCGTTACAACAAATGTATGAGAAATCAGAAAACTTAAGAGCGGGATGATACAACTTCATGGGGGATAACTCTGATTGGCTGTAAATCAAATAGTAAGTGAAATAGTACGTTTTTACACTACTTTTAGGAATGTTCCAGTGATATCATGTTAGGGATGCCCGGTGTTACATTAGTTTAGCTATATACACAGATCAAAATGACTTTATCATATATATATTGTTACAAAAGCATGAAGCACACCAAAACAACAGGGCATATATAACATGCACAGCAACAGAAAATTGTCTTAGTTATCTTCATTTGGAACCAGCTAGTTCATTTTCTAAAATGCAGAACTCAGTCATGCCGTTTCAAATGCTTTGCTCACTGCTTATAGAATTAAGGAGCTGCCTGACTGACTGATAATAAAGCTCTCCATGTAATTACCTGAATTGTGTTCCATCTTCAGGTGTTTTATGATGTGAACATCGAACCAGGACATGTGGTGAGAAAGCGGAGTGTGGACCAGCCCCTTAGGATCCACCTTCATTTCGATGAAAGCCTACGGGAGCTGCCAGACAAGCTCAGAAAACTGGTGCAGGTAAGCAAATTGAGTTTTTCACGTGTCAACCTCTAGAATCTGTTTGTTTGTTGTTTAACGGCATACTGAGTAATTATTATGCTATGTAACAGTGGTCTGTAAATGATCATGGCTGGAACAGACTATCCAGTTATTGACATCATGAAAATTGATCTTTGCAATTGGGATACAGTGACATGTGTCAACCAAGTCAGCAAGCCTGATTACCTGATCCTGTTAGTCGCCTTTATTATTAAGCTTAGTTGCTGAAGACCCAATCTTCATGGGCTGTTAAGCTCAAGATAAGTCCTCTGAATAGGGCTGGCTGTCAGTATAGATCAAATATCTAACTAAATAACAGTCAATTAGCAATAAATATCAGAAAAGTAATGTTGAGCAAAACTGCCAATAAAGTATGAAAGTAATCAACATATCTCACATGCTGGTAAGGGACCGTTCATAAATTATGGCTGGGGGGGGATGATTTTTATGCAGAAGCATGTACAATGTGAATGACCCCCCTAAAATTGATGTACAAAGTAAAGTGAAAAAACAACAAACCCAACCCCTCCCCAAAACCCCCTGCATGTCATGTACAAAATCAATGCCCCCATGCCATCATTTTTAAGCATGACTTTGCTTGTTTGCTCATTGATTCCCCACATGGGTACAATGTGTGAAGCCCAATTCTGGTGTCCCCCACAGCGATATTGCGGGAATATTGCTAAAGGTGGCGTAAAACTAAACTCACTCACTCATTCACTTGTAAAGATTGCCTACACACTGGTTAGGGCATGCTTATTGGACTAGGGTGGCAAATGTGGTGGTTTGGTATTCTTGGTTTTGTAAATCTGATGATGGAGGTGAGGTGAGGGTGAAATTGGGTTTCACGTCGTGCTTGGGAATATTTCGCTCATATGACGACGTGCATGCATGTGTATGTGTATGTGTGGCTGCTTGTACTAGCCCAGACTGAAGCTGGTTTTATAGTGCTAGCCCACTGAGATACCATGCCGCAGTGAAGCATGAATACCCCACTCAGACACATTATACTGACTCCGAGCCAACCAGTCCTTGTTGTACACATTATTGCCGAGCGCCAGGCAGGGACCAACAAGTACTATATTTTAACGTCTTTTGGTATGACGCGGTCGGGGATCGAACCCGCGACCTTCCGCTCTCCGGGCGGACGCTCTAACCACAACACCACGGAGGCGGTCCTGATGATGGACAGTAGGATCTTCAGAATACCTGACAAGCAGAGTTATAGGCATGATAGGAGTCATGAGCTTTTGTAGTACATGTAATAAGATGGGTATACTGTGCATTGCTGGGCATGAAATTCCATATATACAAGGGGACATTACTCTGTACCCGTGGGTTAGTAATGTGGGAATTTGTGTTTCCAGACAATTTCATAGCAAGATAAGTTTAGTTTGGGGCATTAATTGAGATCTTCATGTCCAGTCATCTCAATTTCTGAATAAATATTTTAAATTACAAAATGTTGTCTTCTATCCATATTTGCCATCAAACAAATCTCTCTTTCTGAATAGAATCATAGAATAGGGTACTTGATTGCCAGAAAGTCATCAAATTGTATCAGATTTTTGTGGTCTAGTATACATGGAGAGTGATTATCCTCTGTTGTTGCAGGAGACTGTGGTGGAGGCAGTTCTGTTCTGGCAGGACACTCTGAAAGTGAGAGGAACAGGGGCTCCAATACGATTGAGGAAGTAAGATGAATACTGTATAGAAACTTAAACATTGCTTTGTGAATGACATGTACAGTAAGTTTGCTGTTGCAGTAGAAAAAAAAGATGGTCTGATACAAGATCTGTTTTTATTGTCCTTAATGTGTGTTGCTAATCCAGATAAACTAATTTGTAATAGATTGAAAGTATGGAAAACTGGTCAAAATTAAGATCATCTTCAAAACACAACACTTTTATGACAAATAGCAAAAAGGTAATTTCTTATTATGTTGAACTTGAAATTGTTTATTTCTATTATAACCAGGATATTTAGAATTGAAAACATTATATCCATTTCATAAAGATTTAAGGAAAATATGAAGTCAAGTTGGGAAGGGTCAATGTACTTGGAAAATATATTTTTGTCCGACTTTCTGAATTTGGGGCAAAATAATGTAAACCAAAAACATGTTCAAGACTTCCAAGAAGAAAATTAACTTTTGCTGTCTTGACTGTATCCAGGAAACAAGAAAGCTAAGAATCTAGCCTTACTATTGTGGAATTGTTACTATGTTGTTGGTTGTTCCGTGGACCCAAGGCATCACACAATACATAAGTCATCACACATCTTGTTCAATCAATATTTGGAAGAATTAACGAAGATGAACATTAGCTGTCATTAATACTAAGCAGCAGTGGCTAATACATGACAGTATTATTAATTACTGAACCACACAGCTAGTAAAAGGACTTAAATAACATGAACAATAATGGTAGTTATTACTGTGGTTGCTGTGCATATACATCACAATATTATTATGTGGTCATGTATTTTGTTTCCAGACAGTGCCACAGCCAGCGAGTCCGGTACAATGACACGAGGGTGTACTGTGTTGGGGGCTGTGCCAGTCAAACAGTGTGTGGGGACATCATCATCCCGGATGAGCACCTCGAGGTGGGTGGCATCATCAGTTATTCAGTGTATCTTGGCTCTGCTCTGTTATGAAATACATACCCTCAAGCCATTCACCACTCAACTTTGGAAGTGCCGTCATGTCCTTTATGTCCTTGTCATGAAGTTATTCTTGCTAATGGCTTGTAGTCAACAACTAAGGAAAATGCCTTGTCAATATTCAAGTCTAAACCAGGCAATCCAGGGATTGACATCATGAGCATAAGTCAACACAACTGAGATACAGTAACGTGCATCAACTGTCACCAACCCTGAACACGTGGTCCCATTAGTCACTTGGTACAATAATTTGAATAAACAGGGTGTTTTAGACCAGTTCTTATCTTGTGGACCTTATGCAGTTCCTTTTGGTTGCCATGATTAGGAGTTGAAGGTCAGTTGTCAAAATGGGATTAGATAAGTCTTTTTAGGGGTCCTATGACCTCTGTCCCTGTAATACTGTTGATTGTGAGAAGATGGAAACATGTTATACTCGATTGATAAAGGACCTTTGAAAGAAGTGTTTCCAATGACTTATGTAGACAAGAATTCTTTTGTAGATGTGATATCTGTTTCTAGGGCTGCCATTCCTGGGACCAGTCCACCTACAGGTATGACCATCAGACTGTGTCTGGCGCCGGCGTCAACAACACAGACTTCATCCTGTATGTCGCTGCTGTGCACTCCCAGCGCTGTAAGCAGGGCAACACCATCGCATATGCAGCACACTGCCAACAGGAGAGAGTCCTTGACAGGTGCATAACAGTTTCACTCATTGGAAGCTGATGAAAGTCCTGGTAATGTTTATGTCCTATAGAATGAAGCTGAAATTGGATTCATTGTATCCTGTAAAAAACAGCTGTTTGTGTCCAGTTAAAGTAAGAGTGGTAAATATTCGTACCAACTTGTACACGCGTTGAGGGATCCTAATTTGTATTTTCAGACCAGTAGCTGGGTATTTCAGCATCTGCCCCCAGTCCTTGTCTCTGGAGATACAGGAAAAAATGCAGCTGTTGTCAACCATGAAGCATGAGATTCTACATGCACTGGTTAGTAGGCACCTCACACATGACATTATACATGCACTGGTTAGTAGACTCCTCAAACATGACATTATGCATGCACTGGTTAGTAGGCTCCTCAAACATGACATTATGCATGCACTGGTTAGTAGGCTCCTCAAACATGACATTATGCATGCACTGGTTAGTGGGCTCCTCAAACATGACATTATGCACATTATGCATGCACTGGTTAGTAGGCTCCTCAAACATGACATTCTACATGCACTGGTTAGTAGGCTCCTCAAACATGACATTATGCATGCACTGGTTAGTAGGCTCCTCAAACATGACATTATGCATGCACTGGTTAGTAGGCTCCTCAAACATGACATTATGCATGCACTGGGTAGTAGGCTCCTCAAACATGACATTATGCATGCACTGGTTAGCGGGCTCCTCACACATGACATTCTACATGCACTGGTTAGTAGGCTCCTCACATGACATTCTGCATGCACTGGTTAGTAGGCTCCTCAAACATGACATTATGCATGCATGACATTATGCATGCACTGGTTAGTAGGCTCCACATGACATTCACATGACATTGAGTGGGCTCATTACATGCATGCACTGGTTAGTAGGCTCCTCACATGACATTCTACATGCACTGGTTAGCGGGCTCCTCACACATGACATTCTACATGCACTGGTTAGTAGGCTCCTCACACATGACATTCTACATGCACTGGTTAGTAGGCTCCTCACACATGACATTCTGCATGCACTGGTTAGTAGGCTCCTCACATGACATTCTACATGACATTCTGCATGCACTGGTTAGCGGGCTCCTCACACATGACATTCTGCATGCACTGGTTAGTAGATTCCTCACATGACATTCTACATGCACTGGTGGTAGGTAGGCTCCTCACACATGACATTATGCATGCACTGGTTAGTAGGCTCCTCACACATGACATTCTACATGCACTGGTTAGTAGGCTCCTCACACATGACATTCTACATGCACTGGTTAGTAGGCTCCTCACACATGACATTATGCATGCACTGGTTAGTAGGCTCCTCACACATGACATTCTACATGCACTGGTTAGTAGGCTCCTCACACATGACATTCTACATGCACTGGTTAGTAGGCTCCTCACATGACATGACATGCACTGGTTAGTAGGCTCCTCACACATGACATGGTTATGTGGTTAGTAGGCTCCTCACACATGACATTATGCATGCACTGGTTAGTAGGCTCCTCACACATGACATTCTCCTCACATGCACTGGTTAGTAGGCTCCTCACACATGACATTCTACATGCACTGGTTAGTAGGCTCCTCACACATGACATTATGCATGCACTGGTTAGTAGGCTCCTCACACATGACATTATGCATGCACTGGTTATGCACTGGTTAGTAGGCTCCCTCATTCCTCACACACATGACATTCTACATGCACTGGTTAGTAGGCTCCTCACACATGACATTATGCACATGCACTGGTTAGTAGGCTCCTCACACATGACATTATGCATGCACTGGTTAGTAGGCTCCTCACACATGACATTATGGCAAACATGACATTATGCTGGTTAGTAGGCTCCTCAAATGACATTATGCATGCACTGGTTAGTACAAAGGAATATTGTGCCACAATCTTCATATAACAATGAAATATCTGCAAAAGTTGTAGCAAATACTTTTATCAAATCTAATGTTATTTGGAAGTTGTGTTTGCCAAAGCATGACTTGCTCTCAATCTCTTGTGACAGGGTTTTACAGCCGGCCTGTACGCCTTCTACCGAGATCAAAATGGAGACCCTCTCACTGATCGCAACCCCTTGTCACTCAAACCTTTTGGCTTCAACAGAAAGTAAGCAGCCATTTTCTGTTTGTTTTTATCTTGAAATTTCAGCTCACCTTTTACATGGTTTGGATAGTGATCATTTTCATGCTCTGGGATACAGTCCGTCACCTCTAAGAAGCGACCGGCCTCTCAGACATCCAGTCATCGCGAGACAAAGTCCAAGAGGGCCTCAAGCGTCTTCTCCGCGCGACTTCGTGCCCCAGGGCAGCGTCTTCCTCCAAAGGGAAATCACGGTCATCATCCAGAACTTTCTCAGACGAGATCGTTCCAGCAGCAGAATTGGGCCTCTACGATGACCAGCCGATCATCATACCCGACATACATACCACCAGAAGCGACCAGTGACAGCGACAGTGACGCCAGCAGAGATCAACAAGCAGCCTGATGCCTCTACACTGATGTCAGACGAGATGCGCTGAGGGCCCCACCGCTAACACAGCAGAAGGGCACCATCTACTACGCCGCATGAATCATCCCAAGCGATCTTATGAAACAGATCATGATTATGATGGAAGGCCACTATAGACTGGAGAAGCAGCCATCCCAGGGTCCGAGCCGAAGGCTCCAACGTGAGACAGCACCCCAGGGCACCATCTGTCAGCGTAGCAGCCATCGACAATGCAGCCTTCGCTGGCGAAGTCACAGACCACCTCGACATGACTGAAGGACCAGATGTACAGCCTTCCGAAGGCCTTCGCGAAGGCGGAAGAATCATCACCTTCTTCGGTCATACTCAGATATGGAATCTGATCACCAGACCACACGCCAAAGCCTTCGGCGATGTCATCATCATCGTTCCCCAGGACCGGACCTTCACGAAGCTTCGGCGAAGTCACGAAGGACACCTGAACCCAGATCGTCTTCATCTAAAAGATCAGCAAGGGACTACACAAGAGCTTGCTATCAGTCCCCTCATAGATCGCCAAGAAGGTCAACCCTATCGATATAGATCACCAAGGCGATCACCTCACCATCACCACGTCGATCACCTCACAGGTCTGCACATAAGCCTACAACTAGATCTCCACAAGCGTCAAACGATATAGAGATAGAGCCACACAGCCCTACATCAGAAGAGCAACAACCTCTTATCTATGATGATGGAATGGAAGATGATGGAGGAATTATTTTCTCAGATGCAGAGATAAGATATTGGATGGTCAATAATCTAGATCTCTCATCACCTTCCAAGAGTGGCAATAAAGGCGCAGACTTATCTGATGAAAGAAGATGACGCAGATGCTATTACACTACCCCCCTAATCGACCGATTGCGGCGGTACCTCAGAACCTAGATACAGCATTTAACAAAGCCACAAAGGTTCAGACGCCACATCTGCCAAATTTCAGCGCCAAGAAGTTCTCCACGCATAATATGGAACCCTTCTTCAAAGCGCCAAGACATCGATGAGAACTATAAGCTCATCTCGATGCCAAGAACAAGTACTACAAGATTGATGATCGGAAATTGATTCAGATAGAAACCATGACGAGTATATGCGATGTTCTTCGGTCTAAATAGATCTAGAACAATAAAATGAGACACTTATCTCCAGATTTCCTGAACCACGACCTCTGAAGATGACAGAATGATTTACTCGCCCTACTGATGCAAAAGAAGGACCAGCAGTTTTAACAGATCATCTGACGTCTGTCTCAGCAGCACTGACCTTAGCTCGTCGTCAAGGCCTCCTAGCTTCCTGCAACTGGGGTGAGAACTTTACAGCTCCACTATATACAGCCCCCGTGGTCTTCCCCATCCATATTTGACGGAGGAATAGACACAGTCTCCAAAGAAGTCACCAAGGATTCTAGAGAAGTCCTGATGATTAAATCGATGGACACGCTAGCCAGTGTCATTCGACAGACTTCACAAAGATACTCAGGGAGATCTAAATTCACGGGCCTACAAAGAGCTAGAGACAGGAAGATTGCCAGTTCCAGGAAGAGATTCTTTTAAGTAGCCCATATGGCAACTATAGAGGAGGGTCAGGACGAGGCAGGACACCCAGAGGTTCCCTTGAACTATAAACGCTGAAAGACAGGTTGAACGACTGAGTCTTCCACCCCAGCCGTTCCAGTACAACCGTCACAAGTGGGTGGGCGTCTTCAACTACACTGGGAAAACTGGGGAATACTTCAAGACACCTATGTCTCCAACATTCTTCAACGCGATTTCGTATCCCACTACAGGCCAAGCCTCCACTAACAGTCAACCCTCACAAGTTCGAGTAGAGGCACAACAACTACTAAAGTTAAGAGAGGCGGTTACATTACTCCTAACCAAGCAGGCCATATAGAAGTAATAGAGCAAGGAAACATCGAACCAGGTTTCTACTCCCAGTTTTCCTAGTACCCAAGAAGAACTCCAAGGAGAAATACAGACTCATTTACAACATGAGCTTATTCAACAAGACTTACTTAAACAAACCACCCAGGTTCACTATGATACATCTACACGCCCTTCGACAGATGATTAAGCCCCATGGACTACATGGGCAGTATAGATCTACAAGATGCTTATCTGCACATCCCAATACATCCCGAATCCAGGAAATACCTTCCGGTTTCACGCTAGACGGGTTACATTACCAGTGGAAAGTACTCCCATTCGAATAGCATCAGCCCCATGGTTATTCACGAGGGATAACGAAACCGATTGTTATCTATCTACATCGTCAAGGGCTCATGATCGTTCTTCTTCCTCGACGACGGGATACAAGTAGATCAAGATCCACAGCATCTCAAACTACAGTTAAACACATCATAAAGCTACTAACACAGCTGGGATGGTTAGTAAACTTACACAAGTCCGGACCTAGTACCATCGCCAAGATCTGCAATTCCTAGGAATCCGATTTATCACCAATCTCAACCGTATAGTCGTACCAGAAGACCGTTGGCTCAAGATCCAACAGATCATTCCACCAGCTCTACTGTCACCGCTACCACTTACAATGGCAGAGCTTACTAGGTCTTCTAACATCAGCCCAAGACTTGACAGTCATAGGCAGATTACAGTTCGTCCGTTACAGGTCTTCGTCAATACATCTCGACGACCTACAACCATTCAGTCTACCGATACATCTCAGACCTCATCTATTATGGTGGACAAAGAAATCGAATGTCTGCGAAGGGATTTGTTTAGCAGAGCAGGAATTCAAGACCCATCTATATGTAGGCCATTAAGCTCCAAGGTTGGGGAGCTCATCTCTCCAACCGGACGGTGCATCAGGGTTATGGACTCAGCTAGAAAGCAAACTCCACATAAGCATTAGAGATGAAAGCTGTAATCAGCATGCCATAAGACATTGGAGCAACATTCTACAGAATGCGCACCTGATGATACATACCGACAACTTCGACAGTGGCGTTTTATGTGAACAGACAAGGCTCAAGCGAGATCGCCTTGAACCTTTTGAATTTAACCTTTCAACTGTTCGAATTAATCCAAGATCTAAATCTACATGTCAAAGCATGCCACATTCCCGAGCCAGGAATATACTAGCAGACGCACTCTCTCGTACATCTACCGTCGCCCGACAGAATGGATGCTCAATACAGAGATATTTGCACAGATAATCAAGCAAATAGGGCCAGCTAGTAGATCTATTAAGCCACAAGGTTCAACAATCAACTACCGACATTACGTGTCACCAGTGCCAGACCCACAAGCATGGGCAACAGGCGCTCTAAGCATTTCATGGGAAGGCCTCAATGCGTCGCGCGTTTCCGCCCCAGCAATAATACCTCTAGTATTACAGAAAATCAACCAAACGCAGGAGCCTACAACTCACTTTGGTGCGCCCTATTGGCCGGCCAGAGCGTGTTTTCCGCCTTAATACAAGATATCGGTCAACCGGCACTAGAACTACCTAAGCGCCAAACCTGTTAATACATCCTCACACCAAACAGGTGCACAGAAACCCAGAAGTATTCAAACTTCAATGTATGGACTGTATTAAAATGTGTTTAAACAAGAGGATATTCTACCAGGGCGCAAAAGCGGTCACGCTTGCCTTTACGATACTCAACGCGCGTGGCAATGCGATGACAAGTGGCAAAGTTTCGAAAATTATGCAACAAACAAGGGTTTTACAGCGAGATGCTCACGCATCCTCAAGTGGCAGACTATTTGTGTTACTTCTACGGCAAAACAAACATTTAAAGGCTCGACATTGTCAACATATCTTGCCGCTTAGTTCTGTGATTTCTATGAGAGCGGTGTTAAATTAACAAGAACACCAGAGTTACTGGCCTTTACTACGTGCTTTCGATTGGAGGACCAAAGCGGAAATTCCGCCCCAGCTTGGGATCTGAATGTAGTTTTCTGACACCTCACAAGTGAGGATTACGAACCATTGGAATGCGACAACGTTTGAATTTCTCTCACAGAAAACAGTCTTCCTGTTATCGCTAGCCACGGCAGCCAGAATATCTGAAATTCATGCTCTAGATTATGAGAGGATACAGTTTGATGAAAATCAAAAGACAAGCACCTGGGATTAAGATGGGATTTCATCGCCAAAAAATCAACTACCAGGTCAACCAGACAGGTTATTTCACATCCCTCGCTATCCTCAATTCTTGGATCTCAAGATACATTGGACTTATCTCTATGCCCAAATACGAGCTCTCATAATCTATTTCACGTCGTTTCCAAAACAAAGGCTTAAGATAAGCTCAGAAGATTGTTCATCCCGTTATAAGCCTACAAATCAGACAGAAGTCTCTCGTGCCACCATATCAATATGGATAAGAACTGTCATTTCTGCAGCCTATAAGGCAGCAGGACTGGACCCTCCAACAGCATCAAATCCCCATGAAATCAGGGCATTGGCATCCACCCTGCGCCCTTCATGGTAACTGTTCGTTGAATACAATTATGGAAGGATGCTTTTGGAAATCTAACATGGTGTTTGCTAATCACTATCTCAGAGATATCACCACCGAGGACGTCTCTGGCATTCATCATTTCAGGTCCTTTGGTCCTCAGCTCAGCAATTGACAGTCCCTGTAAAGCGTTAATATTCACCCCACGAGATTATTAGATATATGATACATATATTCACTAGCTTATAACTCCATGGAGTTCTAGGGCTATGTACATATTTAGCTTAGGTTATTCAACCTTAAGCTCATACTGAGTTATATTCAGTGTACAGCTCGTTAGAGTAGCAGTTTATATATATATATTGATATATCAGTATATTAGTAAGGTAATACCCCACTTATAGTGTATATATCTATGGATTATTATAAGGAAATATCCTAAGTCTCAATGCCTTATGAAGTTCCATGAAGTTATTACAATATCACTTACTTAAATCACTAATTAATCCAAAGTATTCTGTTTACCCACCACCTCTCGGGTGGATTCTACAAGCAAAAGAGCATGAGTCAGGATAAGGAAAAATATGTAATTTTCTGAGTAAAATTGATATTTTATACTTATCCTGACTCATGAGGTTAGTTCCATCCTCCCCACATAACACTTTGGATTTCCCTGTAAATTCAAGTGTTGGGCTCGCAAAATCAGGAGAGAGTGAAGCATGAGGCCAGAGGGTGGCGACACCTGTTCACGCGCTTACGGCAGGGGAGGTAACTCGTGGGTGAGTACCAATTAGTGATTTTACATTGAAGGGAGCTTCAATTAAGGAGATACAAGTGTTCCACTATGTTAGCAAGAGGAAGGGGACAAGCAAAAGAGCATGAGTCAGGATAAGTATAAAATATCAATTTTACTCAGAAAATTACATTTTTGTTCAAATACCCAAGAACTGAACTTGGTTAACCTTTGTGGTTTTATCTTTGTGTTTCATCCATACAGGCTGGGCATGTATGTGTGGAGTACAAATGTGGTGAAAAAGGTGAAACGGAAAAACTGGAAGTTGAAAACTGGGACGACAGAGAAGGATGCTGTATATATAGTTACACCTAAAGTAACAGTAAGTATTGTGGGTGCAGTGGTAAATCATTGTTAGTGATGAAAATGTGTAATTACACATCAAACAAGGATGAGATTATGCAGACAGTTGATACAGCATGTAGATTGTGTTTGTTTGTTTGCACACTGCAATATTCTAGTAAACTAATGAAAGTCTATAAATAATGGAACTTAGATCAGACAATCCAGTGATTGACATACATCATGAGCATCAATTTACACAACTGTGCTATAATGTAGGGCTGCGCAATATAACCGGTTTACCGGTATTTACCGGTTCAGACATGAAAACGATACGTATTGCAATACGCTGATCGAAAACCGATGTTACAGGCCAGAGTATACCCCTGTCCCAGACTATACCCGGGGTTAAACTGGGCTAGCCCAGACTATACCCCAGGTATAATCTGGGCTAGCCTAGTTTATTCCCCGGGGTATATTCTGAACTAGGCCATAGTATACCCCCCCAGCCCAGATTATACCCCTACAGAAAACAAGTGATTAAGGATACTACTATAATTTTATTGTACTTCTCACACAATTAAACACTGGTTACAAGATTGAAATGGTCCGATACATTTTCCAGATACAAAGCATAATCATTGTGAGTTTTCAAGCTGAAGCTGGCAGGGTACATCAGCCATTGCATTGACTGACCAACTGCACTGTAAATATAAATGTCACATTTAATGTCTGTATGGCCGCCTGACTCCAGTTCATCTCTAAATCTTTTTCGTTGCTTCGAATCACTGGGGCTTTCGGCGTTGTCGTTAGTGGGTGGGTCATTGGAGTAGATTTTGAGGTTACTGGCGTGGTATGTGTTGTTCAGGATCTTGTTGGTTTTCACGTTCTGTAGCTTCACACGACCTTTGGTCAATGTCTGGACGACGGAGTATGGTCCAGTCCAGCGTGGCTCCATCTTGGCTCCAATCCTCTGGACTCGTCGGTTATTCTTGATGTACACTGTTGACAAAGCACTTCGGACACGTCTTGACATATTCTTGGACGTCGTTCTTCATACCTTTCCAATAATAACGCGAGGATAGACCATCAAATCTCCCAAAACAATAATAGAATAATTCCACTTTTTACCATCTTAAAATTGTTATAAATATGTATATATGTTTTTTAAACTTTTTTTGGGTTCCACCTCATTTCTTAATAAGTGTAATTCCCCGTCGCCGATATACCTTAGTTAAAGCAGATAAAGCAGATACCTAACTACTAACCTTGATGATATATCAGCATGGCTGGGTTACGCAAAGCCGAAAATATCACATCGCAGAGAGGCACTAAACAAATGCTTCATAAATTTTGTATTAAGCAGTAATGTAAATAAAATGCACCTACAAATTCCTTTAAATGACACCAAGACCATTGCCCTGAATCACACACTCATATTGAGTGAATTGTCAACATAATTTTTAAGGGGTATAGTCTGGGCTGGAGAAGTATACTTTGGCCTGGTCCAGAATATACCCCCGTGGTATAAACTGCGCTAGCCCATAGTTTACCCCGGGGTATAATCTGGTGGGGGGTTATTCTGGGCTGCTACATTGGTATTTTGACATGCATTCAGAAAACTTCATAACACTCGGAAGCCTTCAGATATTTCCTTGTTTCGTTTGTGCCAAATATTTTTATTTGTCATGATTAAAAGTTTTTATTAAAGCTTAATCAAGCATAGTGATTTTGTTGTGTGCATGCTTTATAAATCAAGCATTGACTCGATGATTAGTAGTTTTTTGTTTGAAAATATTTCTTGCAATATATTGCTATACATATCGCATAATATGCTTTCACATCGCAATATATCACAGTATGAAAATTCTCTGCAATACCCACCCCTACTATAATGGCATGCATCAAACAAGTCAGCGAGTCTGACCAACCGATCCCGTTAGTTGCCTCTTACAAAAATTATGCTTTACTGATAACTATTTCTGATCTTGATCTTGATGCGGTGTGCCGATTTACATTTACAAGAGTGAAACAAAGTTTATCGGATGTCATCATATCCCAAAGGTATGGGATGATGCTCATAATATCACTCACTGGATAACGGACTTGATACCAACATAAAGCCGGAATATATTGTGTCTGTCATTCAAGTGCATAATACATGTTTCCACTTAGTTACTATTCCCTCAATGGATCATGTAGAATACAAACATTGATATGTTTTGTGATAACCAGAAAGAAGTAAGGCGCCATTTCAACTGTTCCACACTAGAGGGAGCTGAACTTGAAGACCAGGGGATTGATGGGACAGCACTAACCCACTGGGAAAAGAGAGTGTTTGAGGTGGGTGACTGTTCCTGTCTCGTTGCACACGTTATGATTTCCATCTGTAATTGTCAGCTTCAGTCAGTGGATTTTCTTAAATTTGGTGTATGGGTAGTCTCTAATGAAAGTAAGGTCATGTTCCCTAACAAACCACTTTTGTAACTATTAAGTAGAAGAGTTAAAAATTGTGGTGATTGTCAATTAAATCTGAAGGCAGAAATTAATGGATTGTAACTAGATTTTATAGTTACGTAGTTTCTCTTATAAGACAGCATATGAGCTAATTTAAACAATGTAAAATGATGGTCAAAGGTCACATGAAACTGGGCTTTGTTAATATCAGGATGAGAACTTTGAAATGAATAAGAGTTTTGACCATCCTTTTTAGATGCTTTAACTGGAAAATGTTTTAAGATTTAACAACATAATAAGCAACATTGTTGTGAAATTCAAGTTTATACTGATGATGATTTGTTGCAGAACGAAGCGATGACGGGAGCATATACACAGAACTCTGTGATTTCACGCATCACCTTGGCGATGATGGAAGATACTGGGTGAGGAGGCTGCTGTGTTCATGTTCAACAATTTGAATATTCTATTTGAATTTAGAAACACATTTCATACTGAATTGAGATCATTCAAGTGTTCACTAGTGCTGCAGATACAAACAACACAAGCCTTTATCACAGAATTCAGAGATAGAGAGGTCTCTAGGGATCAGTAGTGTGTGTAACCTGTCGGTGCATCTTAACCTGGTGGCACTAATTGTTGCCATTGGTGACAGTCACTGGATCGCCCAGACATGATCAGGGGTGTGGAACATCAAATCCCAAATAGAATTTTGCATCTTGACTCTTTACTTGAAATCACGTTTAGCTTAGAAGACCTTTAGTCAGTTTTGATAAAATATTTGTAACAAGTGTTAGATATAGCTGTGATGAAATTGTAACATTGTGAGCTTTCTGCTTTTGTTTCCAGATGGTATCAAGTCAAGTATGAGAATGCTGGAAATTTTGAATGGGGGAAAAATCTTGGCTGTGACTTTGTGCAGAAGAGTTGTTATGAGTGGATAGAGATTAAACAAGAAAGGTAATGACCTGATGTCATTTGTCCAGACTGGTACCATTCCAAGTTATACTACTAATGTTATACTACTCAAGTCTTTCATATTGCTGTAGTTAAATCTGTCATACTAGTGCATCAAATTGCCTGTAACCATTTTTAGAAGAAAACATAATTGAATCAAGATGACGATTAATAATGGGCATATTTTCAATAAAATTCTTGATTTGCTATTTTATTTGTGGCTGTTTCATGAAATCAGTACAGGGTGGAATTTTTCTAAACCGGCCTTCTGTTGGTGGACCGAAAGTTAAATTAATCGTGTGTTCGTGCATGCGTCCGTGTGTGGATACAGTCATCCCTCGCCATAACACAGGTCTTGGGGTCCATGGATGCCCCTTCACATTATAGTAACTTATACATAACACAGAATTAAGGCCTGATTAACCTGAGCTCAATGTCAGATTTGTATTTTTGATGATGTGAAGATGTGTGATCGCTGGGCAACATTTTTTATGGGAGCCATGGATTACCTCGTGAAGAGTCTTGTTGCGAGGGATGACTGTATATAGATGAATCGATTAGATTGATTTTATGCATGATGTGAGCAATGATGTGACATTAATTAGGAAACTCACCCTGTTCTAAATTGTGCTCAGAAAATGAAGTTGATTTTTCTGTTCTTGATTTGTAGTGTCCATTGTTGATTGTTGTTTAGGTTCCTTCATGATATGTGTTTCCAGGCATGAGAGCATCTATCCATACTGTGAGGAGGTGAGACGAGGGGAGCTGTGGACAGACTGCTCCAACAACCGACACTCGGTGGCGCTGTGTAACCTTGTGGAATATAAATCTGCTCTTGAACCTCGATATCAGGTAAATATTTAGGTGATGTGGAGAGACTACACTCTGTGGCTCTGTGTGATGTACATCCTCTGTTGCATCTCAATATCTTTTACCTGATACAAATATGACATATACAACATGATACAATCTGTGACATGATTGTGTAATTGTTAGTCGACATACCCACATAACTGGACACGACTTCTGATAAATATATACATACAGTGGAAACCTGATAAGTAAAATTTCAAGGGACTCGCCAAAATTGTTTACTTATCAGCTATTTAACTTATCCAAACTTATCAAAACCTGCAAACGACAACCATATGAATGTACATGTATACAGCAGAACAACAGACAACATTTGTAAGTACAGTTGTCAGCGTATTGTCAACTGCATGACGTCAGCCAGAGCTGTAAGTAGGATGTTTGTTTAGCTGGAGACTGACACGTGCCCCTCATGTCGGATCATGTGGTGAATGCTAATTTAGTTATCCGGTCTCTTTTGTTAAGTAATTTACTTCCAGGGACCACGAGAAGACGTTTAGTTAAGCAGTATTGTTTACTTATCCGAAGTTTAGTTAACAGGACTCTAATAGTGATAATTAATGAAGAAATGTACCGGGACCAAAGAATAGTATTTACTTATCCGGTCTGTTTAGTTGAGCAGTCTTTACTTAGGAGGTTTCCACTGTATAGCCTGTAGAGAATATGCAGTATTTGATCTTCTCTGCATGTAATGGGCTAATGTAAAAAGTGTTTTAATTCTAAATTTCGATTGTTTTCAGTACTTCACATACCTCAAAGGTGTAGCAACACAAGAAGTAAATAGATTTGGTGGCTCTGTTAAACTTGCTGATTATTGTCCATATCTGCAGGTGAGTGAGTTTGGTCTGAAGTAGGATTAAGAAACTATGAGTGGCATTCACTGGTGATAACTGTATAGAGAACCTTGATTATTCATCCACTATGTCTTGTTAGTATTCCAGTTTATGATAGGTGCACAGAGGCACAGTTAAAAAAGGATTTCTAGGAAGCATATTGCATGTATATAAAGATGTATGTGTGTGGGGTGTGTTTTTTGTTTGTTGTTTAACGCCGCACTCAGCAATATTCCTGCTGTATGGCGGCTGTAATCTTGACCAGTGATCTTGACCAGACAATCCAGGGTTCATTATTAAGAGGGATCGATCTCAATTTTTTTTTTTTTTTTTTTTTTTCAAAATTGGGATACAATGTGTCAACCAAGTCAGTGAACCTGACCACTCGACACTTACGGCAATCATGGGTTACTGAAGACCAATTCTAACCTGGACCTTCATGGGCCGTGAGCTTGGTGGGGGAGAGGGGAGGCGGGTTTGTCCAGACTAATGCTGGGTCTGTGGTGCTGGGGAAATGAGATACCATGTCAGTAGTTTAACTTGGCTACCCACTCAGTATATTGACTCTAAGTATACCCAATCTTGGGTTTTACCGTACCAGGCCAACAACAAGTACCTCCTTTTAATGTTTTTTGATATGATGTCCTATCCACTAGACGACTAGATGACATGTTCCATGTTAATCTAACGGTTTAAGGTCATCCAACTCTTTTGTATACTACGCACATTAGATGCCAGCATGATGGCCTATTTATCCTCGGACTCGGAGCCTTGACTGACTGACTGACTGAGTTTAGTTTTACGCCGCTTTTAGCAATATTCCAGCAATATCACAGCGGGGGACACCAGAAATGGGCCTAACACCGGAGCCTTGACAGTTTATTGGGTCACTGTAATGCAGTAACCTAGACTTACCTGGGTGTATATTTACGATGGCTCTATCTGAATCATGTGTTTCAGGAGTTTTCCTGGACCAGCAGCGACAGATCGCTACGGGGGTCGAGCTGCAGGGCCGCCCAGAACAATGTCGGTAGGTGTGGTGGCAGAGTCGCTGGAGAGCTGTGTAATCTAAGACATGTATCATGTCAGCCCAATGTTATGTGAAACAACTGAAATACTGTGTAAATTGAAGGTGAATCTGTAAAACAAGGTCATGATACAATATGTCTACAATACATGAGTCGTGCTACAATATACTCATGGAAACAAATAAGAGAACACATGAAAGTACAAGTGTTCCTTTATTCTCATCCAGGTTTCATCACAAGGTATGTATTGCACTGTGGGTGAAATTCTGGGAATATATAAAGGAACACTTGTACTTTCATGTGTTCCATTATGCATTTCCATAAGTATATGTGCAATATATTGGTCACATTACGATATGTATTCAATACAAAGGACATGATACAATACATAGGTCATGATACAAAGACTATGTATCAATACATAGGTCACAATGGAATATGTATACAATACATGGGTCACATTACAATATGATATGTATACAAAACATGATATGATATCCATTCAATATGATATGCAATACATAATCTTAAAGAACCACTAAACTTTTTTTTTGTTACTCTTTTAACCATTACATATGAAAGATTTGTGGTTAGTCTTATCTTGAACACCAAATTTATTCTTTAAAACTTGTGGTTAATTAATACCGGCGATTAAAAGTGGCAAGTCGCCTGCTTCCCTCTCGCCATGTGAAACCACAGACGGAGTTCACGTAACTCTGTCATCAGAGCACTGCAGTGGCGTCATATGAGGAACGATTTTCAGTTAGTTGTATAGAAAATGTGTAGCACGCTCATCATTTTGATGATTTCGACATCAACGGCGACATGCCGAATCGTTGCTTTGTCGTCAATTGCTCTAGGGATTAGAGGCGATGGTGTCACCATGCACAGATTTCCATGGGACCCGCGAGATTCGTGCTAAATGGGTTATGTTTGTGAGTCGCGGCGGCGTTGTGGAAGCCTGAAGCGATATCTTACTTGTGTTCAGATGCGGCTTCCGCGGAAGTTAAAGAATCAAAACTACTTACTAGTTGTAGTAAAATATGTATATGATTGATGACCATAAAGATTTTCCATGACACAACTTGTAACATAGCGATTTCTTCCTCGGAAGTGAGGTTGTGAGTCAGTAACAATAATATTGTAAGTAGTATTATATTGACACCCACCTGCGCTGCCAGGAGAAAATTGTTATGTTATCGCTATGTCATGCAAAATCCTATTGGCTATCAATAAAATAAATATTTTACTACCAGTAGAAAAGTAGTTTTGATTTTGTAACTTTCGGTGAAAACAAACCTAAATAGCATTTATCCACAGACTGGCGGATGTTCCGACGAATTAGCGCCATTTTGAAAATCGTAAAGTCTGTTAGAATTAATGAGATTATAGTTTGTTTTCATCAAGGATTAGAAAATCAAAACTACTTTCTACTCGTAGTTAAATATGTATTGGAATCATAACCAAAGGATTTTGCATGACACAACTTATAACATAGCGATTTCTTCCACGCGGCCGAGGTGGGGTCGAAGTCACAATACTCTTGCTGATAAATTTCTTGCTACATTCACATGGTTAATGTCCACTCACCAGTATGTAGATACTAGTCAATGTCGTCTTTATATTTGGTCTTATAATCCTAATTAGTTTATTATCATACTTGTATGCATTTTGAAACTAAATCAAAAGCTGACGATCTGCTGATAGTGAATTTATAACAGAACTGTAATATCTAGACATTTTATAGTTTGCCAATGTGAATCATAATTCGCACACACACCCTAGTGTATGTTGTCTGTCTCATTACACTTCACGGTAAACAATGATTCTGTTGAATGCTTACGACAAATGATTAAAAACAAAATGCAAATATTAAAATTAAAAACAGATTAAAGTTATAGGAACAATATCAGGCCATTACCTTGTTTGAGGAATGTATCCATCAATATCCACAAAACTGTTCCAAATGATGTGTCTTTTAACAGTTTAATATCACGAAATAGTGATAAATCTTTTCAGGTATTGGTGTATAGTCTCATTGGTCACCCAAGATAGCACACCTGTCAACTAATTGCATAATGTCCGCCTTTCATTTAAAACAGTAATTTAGTTAGCTAATAATGGGCAATCAATCAATGTATTGCCGGTTAATCCTTTGAAAGAAGGACGTTGTTTTTACGCGAACACCGACACGGCAGAGTGTATTCAGTATAGATTAGTAAATCTACATACATAAACACTACCTTTTGACAATTCCGCTGTGTAAGATAAAAGTAATTAATCAATCAGCGTGTATCGGTTAATCCTTTGATCGATGTTCATAATGTTGAATATTTACTCCAGACACAAGAAATGCCAAATGGGAACCTTTGTCGGGTAATCTAAGTGTGTTACCACTAATTATACCTGTTATAAATTCATTAACTGACCATCAAGTGAATGATGACAAATAACATGTGTAGGTTTATACCACCTAACACGAGGTTACAACAAGGGAATATTAATTGCTGTATTGCATGTGAAAACTTATGGGCCGACACTGTTTTGAGAATACAAACAGATTTATACATGACATGATTAAATGCTCGAGGTAAAAACACAGAAACGGGATCAATTTGGATCAGTCATTATACAAATAGGGCCTAATCGCCTGATAATGTTTGTGGATGTTTCAGTTCCCCTGCAGCATTGACAAGGGTCCTGATAATGTTTGTGGATGTTTCAGTTCCCTGCAGCATTGAAGAAGGGTCTGATAATGTTTGTGGATGTTTCAGTTCCCTTGCAGCAGTGACAAATGTTTATGGGTCTGATAATGTTTATGGATGTTTCAGTTCCCCTGCAGCTTTGACAAGGCCTGATAATGTTTTGTGGATGTTTCAGTTCCCTGCAGCAGTTGACAAGGCCTGATAATGTTTGTGGATGTTTCAGTTCCCCTGCAGCAGTTTGACAAGGGCTGATAATGTAACAAGGCCCTGATAATGTTTATGGATGTTTCAGTTCCCCTGCAGCATTGACAAGGCCTGATAATGTTTGTGGATGTTTCAGTTCCCCAGCAGACAGTGACAGGGCAAGTCCTGATAATGTTTGTGGATGTTTCAGTTCCCCTGCAGCTTGACACATAATGTTGACAGTTCCCTTGCAGCAGTGACAAGGCCTGATAATGTTTGTGGATGTTTCAGTTCCCCTGCAGCAGTGACAAGGGTCTGATAATGTTTGTGGATGTTTCAGTTCCCCTGCAGCTTTGACAAGGCCTGATAATGTTTGTGGATGTTTCAGTTCCCCTGCAGCAGTGACAAGGCCTGATAATGTTTGTGGATGTTTCAGTTCCCCTGCAGCAGTGACAAGGGTCTGATAATGTTTATGGATGTTTCAGTTCCCCTGCAGCAGTGACAAGGGTCTGATAATGTTTATGGATGTTTCAGTTCCACTGCAGCAGGGACAAGGGTCTGATAGTACAGGTGGCCAGCAAGTCATACCGCTGTTACCACCAAGGGCAGATCCTCAACGTGGAGTTTGTCTCTGATAACTACCTACACAAGGGCAGCATTGTGTGCCCTCCCTGCCAACATGTCTGTGATGTGAGTGATGTTCTTCTCCTTTACAGTCTTTGTATTGTGCTTGCTTCGTATAGTAATGAAGTTCTTCTTGTAAAGCCAGACCATATCTACACTTGGTTTACAAATTCACTGACTCCAAACAATTGAAATGAAAAATAAAAAGGAAGGTGGTTTCATTATTCCACTGGGCAGAAATAAGTAAGAATATTTTTAAGACCTTTACTGTCACTGCCCATAGTGATTTTCTGCATTGCAAGATAGGTATATATCTGCAACAAGTAGGCTTTTCTGCAAATTATTCCATGGTTACTGATAGAGAGTCATCAGGTCTAGTCTTAAAATCATCTTCTGTCTTTACCAGGAGACTGGAGTCACTTGCCCACCGGATAAAGACCTGCCAGAAGATCCTGTCCATGTGGATTCGCTCCATGCTCCGTGTGCTGCCGAAAGACTGGACACAACATGGCTCCTTGCATCACTCCTCACATGCATTTTTTGTCTCTTTTTGGCTCACAGCTGAGGCAGGCCTTCTCTCTGGGAGTTTGACATTAGCAACAAATCGTCATGGACAAGGATTCACTGTGTGTGTTTAGTTGGTCCTGTTGGTCAGGAACCGACACTGCTGTGCAATAGATGGAATATCTTGGATTGATAAATGACAACTTTGTTTTCAAGGTCACATATCTGATGTTGACGGATTTTATCTGATAGGAATTTACGACAGATCTTGAATTATCATACTTCCTGGAACATACATCATCTGTCCGATGCCGTTACCTTCATGATATTGTAATGTGACAAAGTATCACGGAATATGAATTCCAGTGATAATGAGTATCATCTTGTTGACAAACCACAGTTGAATGGAAGTTGATTTGTAGATATGAAATTCCAAGATACTTTGTGTTCTATTTTGGAATAGCTTTTCAAAATAATTTACTTGAGGCAGTACTGTATGCTTTTCAGGGCATTTCAGGAATCAAATTCCAGTCTGCACCAACACTACAAGCTTTAATTTGCTTCATTTGATTGCATTAAATGTTACTCAGAAGACTGGAGCTATAACAAGACAATTGTTGTTAACCTGGCCCAGGGATTGTGGATTCATCTTTGATGGTGGACACATTGTTTTCGAGGAATTTGTCTGGACCTGTTTGTGGGCTGAGAGAGATGAGCGTTGAAGAAGAAGATGTTTGTTGATGCTTCTAGACGATGGCTTCTAGTTGGTCATGACAGTATGGTACAGCTTCAAGAATGACCTTCACATTGACTGCAAGCAAACACCACCATTTCATAACACTTGTTAATAGATTTGTATCAAGAGATCATAATGAAAACTGGCCACAGGGTCAAATTCCTACTAATGTAGATATGGCATTTAATCAGCACATGAATGCAATGTTTCGTCTTGAACTATTTGGAGTCTAATACAGCAGTGTCATCCACATCTGATACAGTATAAATTATATACACTACTCAAAAAGTTAAGGACCACCTGATTCATGGCCTGATTAACTGTAGTGATATGAAAGACTGGGTTCTTAACTTATTTTGAGTAGTATACATATAGTAACGGCCAGTTGGGACAGTTGACTGTTGATGGTAACCTTTGAGTGACCAGCGTGATGTGTTTTATACATTAGATTGGCTTTGAGAGTGTATTTTCAGCACAAGTGGAATGTTGGCGACGTGAGAGAGAGAGGTGATTTGATATATATTTTACACAAACATTTTCATATGCACATTATATACAATTGTACAGAGCTGGACGAGAGTAGACAGAGGTAGAAAGATATGTATTTTGATGAGATGTATTTAGAGAGGAGGGTGGATGAGGATAATCGATTGGATGCTTTAATGTCCTTGACTGTAAAATCAGACATGATTTGATCTGGGCATCTACAGACATTATCAGTGATTGTTTGACATATATTTTCTGATATAGTTGGAATTGGCATGAGACCTACTGTAGGTTGACATGTTGGCCATACATTGTCATTTATAGCTGGAATCTGTAAGATGCCTGTCATGGTTGACATGTTGGCCATACATTGTTATTTATAGCTGGAATCTGTATGATGCCTGTCATGGTTGACATGTTGGCCATACATTGTCATTTATAGCTGGAATCTGTAAGATGCCTGTCATGGTTGACATTTGGCCATACATTGTTAGATATGATTGGAATTGGTAAGACTCCTATTATGGGTTGACATGTTGGCCAGACATTTTCAGATATAACTGGAATTGGTAAGAGGCCTATTATTGGTTGACATGTTTGAAGTACATTGTCAAATATATTTGGAATCTGTAAGACGCTTATTATGGGTCAACATGGTGGGCGTACATTTTCTGATGAAGTTCAGAATTAAAAGAGGCCCATGGAGGGTGGTCATGTTCTACATACTTTTTCTGATGAAGCTGGAATTGGTAAGAGGCCTGTTATGGGTTGTCATGTTGGACATACGTTTTCTGGTGTAGATGACGTCAGGGAAGAGGCCTTTATTTGGTTGTCATCAGAGTGGAGATCACTTTCCAGACATCTCCACTGTGATGGATGTGTTCAGTTTGTAAGCAAATATGCAATTTGAGTGACCTTTTTGTATTTGATGTGGTTTTATGTTTTTAATTGTTTGGGCTGGATTCCCACAGTTTTGCCTTTAGTGATTATCAGTTAGGCCAGACCTTTCAACTTTGTTTATGAATCAGCCACCTAAAACAAAAGATATATGGAAAAATTACCAAAATTAACAGAAGCAGCCTGTTTTTGTTCAGCCTGCCATAAATTAGTAAAATGTCAAAAATCATTTATTGTTGCCATCTGTTTAAAACAATTATTTCTATAATTAAAGTCTGTTTAAAAGAATTATCTTAGGAAGGTGTTAACAATGAAGCAAGATGAATCATGTAAAAATATAGTTTAAATTGGAATGAAGAAAAACTTGTGTTATTTCTACCATCTTGAATTATTGGTCAAAAACATGTGTTAGCTTAAAAGGTCTGGCTTCATGCAGCCATTTGCAGTGCATAATGTCAAATGTTGTTGTAATAATTATATCACTTTTAGCTTTGACAAATACAGATAGTTTCATTATGGCTATATGTTTGCAAGAAGCTTGTCAACGAATCAACCATTATTACAAATATACTGTTTTGTATAACATTACTGTACAATTATCATGTGCTAGTCCTTACTGGTAAAGAAGAGTTTGGGGCAGTGATACAGTGATATTTTTTGTGACATGAATATGAATCCTTAATGAATAGTATTATGCATTTCTTAACGGTGTTAAAAGGTTTGCGTTGTGTCTTGCCTCAATAAGAGGTACAATTTCAACTTCATTATATGTGAATTGTGCCAAAGTTATTGTGCCAAGACTCCCCCTGTGCAATATTGTTTGTTGTCAAAGAATTATCCTGTGCTTCGCTATAGAATCCTGCTTCCTATATTACTGTATTCAACCACGTATCAGAATACATCTACCAAATGAATAGAATATTTGTATAAGTTTAACTGATGTTCCATTTTGAGCTCATTTACAGAACTGAAGTTTTTCAACGTCTTTACACGTTTCTTGAAATGTATTTGATAACTACACAAGATACAGGCATTTGGATTACAACTGTTGTTTCTTAAGGCAGCATCACATTACCATATTTCTGTATGTAATCAAAGTTAGTATGTCTTGAAACAAGGTGTTGGTTAGCATAAGACATCCACTGTCTGAAAGCCATATTGTTATTCTATCAGTCTTGGCATGTCTATGTCATGTGTTCCTTATCTGACTTGGACAGAGTTTGAGCATATCTGATTCTGCTCTGTTGGGAACAGTATTGACATGCTTGTCTTGAAATACATTTCGATATTAGGAACATCATAATGAATGATATTACACTAATTCTGTGCATTTACATAGCCATCTGGATGGTTTTAAGTACAATATGTCTTGGTAGTGGCCATGTTTTGTTTTTTATTAAACTAATCTACTTTTGATGGATATTATCAGATATGGAATTCAGTTGAAATCTAAAGTTGAATATTTATGAGAATTGGATTGTGTATCATAGAAAGATAAAAGTATCCTTATCAAAAGAGGATTAGTACATTTTTCAAGGGTACTTGCAGTGTTTTTAGTGGTGCTTATTTCATTTGTTTCTGATACTATTGTACAACTGTATTTCTCTTTTGTACTTCCATTCTGAGCTTTATAACTATAATTGTTTAATTATGTCATGTTAGGAAACACTCTGGAGAGATCATATCAATAACTGTTTTAGTGTGAAAGTTGTATTTCAGTTAAGTACCCAATGCATCTTTACTGCTATGTAAATACAAGTTGCAGTCTGACCTTTACCCCACCTTCACCCCAAGCTTCACCCCAACCTTCACCTCGACCTTCACCCTGACCTTCACCCCAACCTTTACACCTCGACCTTCACCCTGACCTTCACCCTGACCCTCACCCCAACAGTCACACAAGGCCATGTTCTAGTGTCACATGCTACTATCACTGATCAACTTTTGTACTCTACAGCACCAACAACCAATAGTTATAACAATGCTGTCATCACACCCAGGGCCTAGTGTCACATGCTACTATCACTGATCAACTTTTGTACTCTACAGCACCAACAACCAATAGTTATAACACACCCAGGGCTAGTGTCACATGCTACTATCACTCTACAGCACCAGGGCCTAGTGTCTACATGCTACTACAGCACTGATCATAACAATGCTGTCATCACACCCAGGGCCTAGTGTCACATGCTACTATCACTGATCAACTTTTGTACTCTACAGCACCAACAACCAATAGTTATAACAATGCTGTCATCACACCCAGGGCCTAGTGTCACATGCTACTATCACTGATCAACTTTTGTACTCTACAGCACCAACAACCAATAGTTATAACAATGCTGTCATCACACCCAGGGCCTAGTGTCACATGCTACTATCACTGATCAACTTTTGTACTCTACAGCACCAACAACCAATAGTTATATCACACCCAGGGCCTAGTGTCACATGCTACTATCAGTGATCAACTTTTGTACTCTACAGCCCAACAACCAGGGCCTAGTGTGTCACATGCTACTATCACTGATCAACTTTTGTACTCTACAGCACCAACAACCAATAGTTTTAACAATGCCAGCACCAACGCATCAATACCGTCATCACACCCAGGGCCTAGTGTCACATGCTACTATCAGTGATCAACTTTTGTACTCTACAGCACCAACAACCAATAGTTATAACATTGCTGTCATCACACCCAGGGCCTAGTGTCACAAGAGTTTTTAAGGTAGTTAAGCTTTTAATATTGGGCAGAGAAGTTTTATCACTTTTTTTAAACAACCATTAGTGATTCCTTCAAGACCAGAGTCCGGTTTCACAAAGCGATCGTATCACTACAACTGTCGTAAGTCTATGTGGAAGTTATGTTCACTTTAGCGCTACGATCGCTTGGTGAAATGGGTCCCAGGGCCCCGTTTCACAAAGCTCTCGTAGCTCTACGACTATCGTAAGTCAATGTTACAGTATAGGAAGTAGGAATGCTGCGAGGAAAGTTACAGAGATCTTAGGCTTACAATCGCTTTGTGAAATGGGGCCCTGGGTAGTTTGAGTGACTTAGGCATTCAGTATATACTACTCAAAAGAATTAAAGAACCCGATTCTTCAGATGTTCTTTAACTTCTGTTGAGCAGTGTATTAATAATGCTTTCACCACTGATACATGAGATTGTTTGATTAGCATTTTTATACATTATGAAAATTATGTGTCTTGTGAGTTTCAGTAGGAAGATTTTTTAAAGTGCCTTAACGCTTCTGATGTCGCGGCGGACTGTGTCGATGCATGTTTATGATGATACTGACCCTGTAAAGAGAAGAAGGCTGTTAATTCCTGCTCTGCTGTGCATTTGGTTTCTTGTGTGTGTCTTGGGCAGTCATCAAACGCTACTTTAAGACTTCCAGAACAATCATGTCATGTGACAATAATCGTCACAATTTGCCTTTTGCACATGATACATAGTTGTAAAATCTCTGAGAAATGTGACTAGGGACTATTCTTCTGAAAAGGTGACAGGATTATTAGATTGTTTAGAGGTAAGCTGTGTGTCAGGGAGTCACGAAACCAGTATTATGTGCACCACTGATATTATACACGTGGAACTGAAAATTAAATTTGATAAACACTGACCAGGCTCAAATGATTTATTATAACCATGAACATTCACTATGAATAGAATTTGGTGCATTATAAATAGGCTTATTAGAACCACACAGTAGATTTTTCATTTTTATTCAAGGTTGAAGAAGAAACGTTAGGTAGTTTATACAAACCTGTGAAGTACTCTCAATCCATTTTGGGGCAGTGGGGTAGCCAAGTGGTTAAAGCGTTTGCTCGTCATGCCGAAGACCCGGGTTCGATTCCCTACATGGGTATAATGTGTGAAGCCCATTTCTGGTGTCTCCCCGCTGTGATATTGCTGGAATATTGCTAAAAGCGGCGTACAACTAAACTCAGTCACTCACTCAATCCATTTTACACAGATCCACCACATCAAAAAAAGCGATTGTTATACAATTGTAGTGCACATGTTTATAAACTGTATGATCAACACAAGTTTTTGCAAGACACATCAAACTGTATGGATACGTTACCATGGCTGTTGTTTCATAACTTGGAAGAAGAATTATCTATGAGAAATAGAATGGTTAATCACACTGGCCTATAAAAATATATTGATAGAAAGACTCTTGCCATGCCTGTTGGTGATTCATTACAAAGATGTTCTTGCTGTTTTGTGTGATGTAACTTGACTATTACTTGCTAATAGCAATTGCTTACATTTCCATCCGCAAGAAATGGAACAGGGGATTTATAATTTACCAATAGAGAATAACCACAAGTAATCTGTCGACACTGCCTGAACCAGATCAATAACCCATCCACCCTGCCCTCACTGAAGCAAGTCTAGATTTCCTCAGGTTCAGAATCTCCCACCTCATTGAGGCTCTTTTTCAATTTAAATGGAGTTTTTGCTCCTATCAAAATTACATATTATCAGAGACTGTGCATTAGTCTAAACTACAAGCTACAAATAATACAAGATTATATATCACAATTTACAATTGCTGTAAATCCTGACCGTTAGGCAAGGGACTGTGTGAAATATGATTCTGTTTTGAAACTGAAGGGAAGTGAAATGTCAGTTGTGAAAAATATAACTCGCTAAAGTCAGCTACTGTTCTTATGACATGGCAGTGTCAATATGTGTTGTCATGACAATGGTTAATGTCAAATACTATTTACCACAGGAATATGATGTCATGGATTCAACTGACCAATCAGATTTAAGAGTCCCTAAAACATACATTTGCTAATAATCGAAATTTATCACACAAATTTTATAGTTTTGTAATACTGCTTCTGGTAAATGATGTCTAATGTTAATGATTTTCCTGCAATTCTTCTTCAACTTGGCATTTGCTGTATGTAGTTTTATCCTAAACTGGAAGACATGTTTGTCCTTCTCTGTATCAATGAAAAATGTATGTTTTGCATTTTTTGTATGCTAACGTCAAGTGTTTTATTGTACATTGTGTGCCTTAGTCATATTAACGGAGCATTTTCTAAACGTAAAATGTTGCTACAGTAGAAGAGATTTGTCAATGTTAATGTTTTTGCTATGAAGGCTGTTTATTGCATGCCTTCAGCTGAAGGATTGCCTGAGTGTGTCCCACAGGCCCCAATGTGACAGAATAACTATCACGTTCATAGGAGTTTTTTCATTCAAC